TCCCTCCGGGACACCCTGGTCCACACTTCCGTCACCCCCAACACCTCCCCACAGCACCTTCTTCCCCTGTAACCGGCAAAGGTGCAACACCTGCCTATTTACCTCCTCCCTCCCCAGTATCCAAGGGCCCAAACATACCTTCCAGATGAAGCAACACTTCACCTGCGCTTCCCAGAATCTACTCTACTGCATTCGCTGTTCACAATGTGGTCTCCTCTACATTGGGGAAACAAAGTGTAGGCTTGGCGACCGCTTTGCAGAACATCTACATTCTGCTGACAAAAAAGACCCTGAACTACCTGTTGCCTGTCACTTCAACGCACCACCCTGCTCCCTGGCCAACATCTCTGTCTCTGGCTTGCTGCAGTGTTCCAGCGAAGCCCAACGCAAGCTGGAGGAACAACACCTCATTTTCCACTTGGGGACCCTACAGCCCTCCTGCCTCAATACTGAATTCAATAATTTTAGGGCCTAAATACTCCCATGTCCCTGCCCCCTAGCCGACACACCAGGCCTTGTTACCACATAGCCTGCCATTACACATCCCCTGTTATTAGTCACTGATAGTCCTCATTAATAACTCTTCACTCTCCCAGCCTAATCGTTAGCAACTCTTTTGTCTGTCCACCTGTCTTTTTCTCTCTTTGGGCTCTGTCCTATTGTATACTCCCTACCCCACCCACCTCCCTATTTTCTGCATATAAACTGACGTTTTCCCAGCCATCATCAGTACTGAGGAAGGGTCACCAGACCTGAAACATTAACTCTTGTTTATTCCTTCACAGATGCTGCCAGACCTGCTAAGATTTTCCAGCAAATTTGTTTTTGTTCCTGATTTACAGCATCTGCAGTTCTTTCGGTTTTTACTCAAGTCGTGTTGGATCTGTGTTCATTCAGGTAAGTGGATTATTCTACCACTTCTACCTCTTCCTTTCACCTTGTAAATGATGAACAGACATTTACGATTCAACAGTGAGTTACTAGCTGCAGAGTTCCCAGTCTTTGACCAACTCCTATTAAACGCTTCAGTAAAGAGAAGAGGAGCCATGGTCATGATGCGGTTGGACCTGTTATGTTTCTGGATGGTAACAGTGAGGATTTCAGCGATAGCAGCATTGAGTGTAATGGGAAGATGGTTAGATGGTTAGATTCCCTCTGTTGGGCATGGCTATTGTCTTGTGCTTGTGTGGCACAAATGCCACTTGCCATTTATCAAACTCAAGCTGGAATGTTGTGCTGATATGGCTGCATGAAATTCTTCAATGCCAGAGGAGTTGTGATTGGCAGTGAATACCATGCAGTGATCAGCAAATACTCTTATGTTTGGGGGAAGATCAATGATGAACCAGTTGAAGATAGTTAGACCGATGACATCACTGAAGAAATCCTGCAATGATGATGTGGGACTGAGATGATCGGCTTTCAAAAGTCATACCTTTGTGCTGTGTATGACTCCACCCAGAGGAAAGTTTACCCGATTTCCTTTGATATTGATTTAGCCAAGGATTTTTTCTTTGAATTTATTCTTTTACATAATGTGGGCTACACCAGCTAGGCCAGCATTTGTTGCGCTCCAATAAAAAGCCAAATATTGCATATCATGGAGATCTGAAATAGAAACAAAGTGCCAGAAACGGCAGCATTTGTGGAGAGAAGCAATTTTGAGTGCAGTAACTCTTCTTTAGAAAGTGTTCTGAAGAGGTCATTGGACTCAGAAGATTAACACTAACTCTCTCTCCCCTGATGCTGACAGACCTGCTGATCTTTTCCGGCACCTTTCACTTACAATTGTTGCACACCCTTCATCACCCGAGAGAGAAGTAGTGAGCTGCCTTCTTGAACTGCAACAATCTATTGTGTGTAGAGACATGCACAGCACTGCTAGTAAGGGAGTTCAAGAATTTTGAACCAGCAACACTGAAAGAATGGGGATATAATTTCAAGTCAGATTGGTGCATGGCTTGAAGGGGAAGTTCCTGGATTTCCCACCTATCAGCTACCTTTGTCTTTACAGGTGGTAGAAGTGGTGGGTTTGGAAGGAGCTGCTGAAGGAGCCTAGGTTCGTTGTTGCAATGCACTTTGTACAAGTCACACATTGCTGCCACTATCCATTGGCAATAGAGGGAATGAATATTTAAATTAGTAGCTGAGGTGCCAATCGAGCTGTGTCCTGGTATCAACCTTCATCAGTCTTGTTGGATCTGCACTCATCTGGGCAAGACAAAAGTATTCCATCCTTAACGTCACACTTGGTTAAATGCTGCCTTGATACCCTGGTCATCACAGTCACTTCACCTTTAGAATTCAGCTCCATTGTCCATGTTTAGACCAAGGCCATAATGAGCTGAATATTCCAGGCAGAACGCAAACTGAGCATCAGTGAGCAGGTTACTGCTGAGTAAGACTGTTGACTAATTGTTCCGTGGTTTAATCACTTAGCTGATTATTGAGATTGGACTGTAAGGGCAGTCATTGGCCAGACGGGATACTTTCTGTTTTGTGTGGACAGTATACATCTGGGCAATTTTCTTCACTGACAAGTAGATGTAAACATTGCATCTATACTATAATAGCTTGGCTATAAGTGTTGCTAGTTGTAGAACAGATGTCTTTAGTTCTAAAGGTGGAATGCTGCTAAATTCCATAGGCATTTCAGTAGCCAATTTCTTCAGCTTATTTTCGAAACTTATCAAACTGACTCAAGATTGAAGTCTGTAATGAAGATGAGCTCAAGCGAGGGTTCAAATAGATCATCCACTTCACACTTCTGTCTGAAGATGTTTGCAAATACTTCAGCCTTGTATGCCTTACGTGCTGCTTCTGCTGTTTAGCAAGAATGCAGTCCTGCACTGTAGCTTCAACCAGTTGGACCTCAGTTTTAGGTATATCTGATGATTCTCCAAGCATGTTCAGATTTAGGTATATCTGATGATCCTCCAAGCATGTTCATCTACACTTGTCATTGAATCAGAGAGCACGTTGCTTATGCAAAATATTTAAAGTCTTGACAGTGTGCTTTAGAAACCATTAAACACTTCTACATTTTCAGAATCAGCCAGCAGAAATCAATTAGCTACTTAATAGATTAGTTGCTTATGATCTCTTTAAGAAGTTAGCAGTGGTTGTTAGGCCCTGGGTGGAGGAAGGGTTGTAGTTCGACTGGTGGAGCTGCGCATGATTAAGAAATGATATCTGTTGCAAGTGTTGAGCTCTAAAATGAAAATCCTGGCATCAAATCACATTCCAAATGGCCTATCCTACATAGTTATAGTGAGCACTCCAGTTATGTACACTAATGCTCTCAACAAAATGGTGTTTGGCATGACCTGCGTCAAATAAGACCATTAGACCAGAAAAAATAGGAGCAGAAATCAGACCATTCAGCCCACCAAACATACAAATATATGCGCATGTACCACAGGCACCAACCTGGTGTTGAATTGGCACTTGTTGTGCCAAAAATAAGGGCTGTACTTTGCAGCCTATTTGTTGTTGGAAAAATTCACCAGCAACTCAGGTTGAACTAGAAAATGAGCAGCAATGATCCGTAATGGCGCAAGCTGACATATTAACTAAACTTAAAAGTTGTGTTGATGAAACACATTTAATTACTCTGGCACCTATTGGTTTACTACTTAAGTACTTCCCACATAACATACTGATCCATGGTGGAACTAAACACAAGTTTATACAACAAGACATCGGAATCTCAAGCCAGTTTCAGGAAACAAAGGTGAATATAAGCATGAGTCAATATGAACTCTGACATATATTCCAGCAGTCAGCTCACAATAGTAAGTAAAGGCAGATTCTAGACACCAGGTGTCTTGCCTGCCTTTTCTAAGGAATGCTGAGGAGTGTGGAAGGTTTGGAAGAGAAAAACAAATGAGGAGCTGAGTGGAAATATTTTTTGTATCTTTATGAAAAAACTGCCATTTTCAAAGCTGTAAATCCCAATTTTAAATATTGATCTACAGTAGGTACAAAAACAGAGGCAATATCTGTGTGGTCTAGATTCATACAGTACAGCTAAGTGTTACGTACATTTGATTTTTCCAGAGAAACTGTGCTGAAATTTTGATGGAGACAAAGTTAAGCAAGAGGATTCTGTTCATTAACCATCTCTGCCTAATCTTGAAGATGCTAAGGTCCAAGTGCTTTAGTTATTATGACAGTGAAGAAGTTGTCAGTCTTTAGTGGTATGAAAATTATAATTTGAATTACTCAGACTTTTTAATAAACCATTCATAAATCATGTAACAATTGTTTTCATAAAATGGTTATTTAGTTTGGAAAGGGTCATAGAGATCCTGATCAAAAAGACAGAAAGCATAAGTAATAAGTTCTCTTAAGGCCATAATGACATATACAAATCTACACATAAATTCTAACTAGGGCAAGAAAAAAAATCAGGAGAAATAAAACCACTAATGTAAGGTTGCAACAGAAAATTCAATAGTATAATTCACCTATATTATATCCTAACATTTCAAATTCAATACCTCCTCCACTGCTACTGGTGTTGCAGTTTTTCAGTTTGAGGCAGTACTCTGTAAGACAATGCAAGTTGAATGCAATAAAAACAACAACATCTTACAGTTATAATGCCTTTAACATTGTAAAACGAGGTTACAGTGAGCCATTACTGAAATAAGTTGGAGACAAACCTGACCTCAATTTCACTGAACATCTCTAGGGTGAATAAAAAAACATAAGGGAATTCTGGTATAGTATAAAGGGAAGTACAGTCATATTAAATTGTGTGCAAGGGGTTTATGTCCTCCATGACATGCAGTGTGCTACGACATCAAGCTGACCAAAATTATAAAGTTAATCATGTAATCTCTGCGTGACTACTATAATATTAGTTATTGTGTAACACTAAAATGTACTGCATTATGTGCATTGATGATTAATATACTCTAATGTGGTCAAGACCTTCTGCTAGGCTGAAAGAGGACAATAACCAACACATGCATTCACACAAAATACAAGATAGATCAAGTGCGTGGTTTCCCTTTATTATACTGCCCTAGTTATTGCAATCAGGTAAATCACATTTTATAAGCAAACACCATCCAGTTGCACTGTAATCATTGTTTTTCTTTACATAGTCTTTCATTGTACTGTGAATCGGTCAATTCAATTAAAACATCATTCTTCGACAAAAAGAAAAAAAATTCTGACAATGGCAAGCTAGCGCATCACAGTTATCACATCTGGCTAATTCTGCATTTAAAAGCAAGTATTAACAAAATACATCTAGTTATCTTGACATCTATTAGCTTACTACGTTAAGCAACAAAGGACAACAGCAACAAAGCTGATGTTTCTAACACACTATAACTCTGATTAGAAGCAAAAGCTGTGAACTCACTAGTTAAAAGCAGGACAGAAAAATACTGAGCATAGAATACTTTTAATCTGTTACATTAATATTCATTTCAAACTGCTTATAATAGCAGTGCCTCATGGCCAAATCATTAGTTTTACATCTGGGTTTCAAATGACACTTTGATTGGATGTAATGTTCAAAAGTTCTCTCCCACTGTGTCTCTGTCGAGTCTTCTGCAGAGAATATGTCTCGCAGTGCTGACACCTTACTGTGCGTGCTGACTCATCATGTGGTTCTGGAAAGACAAAAAAAACCCCATAAGGGATAAATTACACGTGTCCATATCCACCCAGGGCTCACTGCAGATAATGTAAAACTTGTACAATTTAGCTTTATGCATAGAAACAAAAGTAACTGTTAGCTGCACTAGGTTCCAATTTCATTAGCTTAACAAGAGCAAGATTGAACTCATAATAATTCCTTAGATATTCCAATTGGGTCTGACATACACCTTTGTTTTGTAATAATGGTATTATATTGAACCGGTTTGCAATAGCATACAAACTGCAGGAGATTTAAGTCTACTTGATCCCTAAAAACAGTTCACGTGGTGAAATTTGAGATTTAAAATACATTTCAAAACAAAATTTGTTTGAATCTGTGTCAAGAAATGCATTTCTATTTTTAATTTGATTCTGCAACAAAGTGATAGCCTACACACATGGAAACATTTATTAAATTATTGTTCCAAACATCCGAATCAAAGAATAACTCTTTCACTGGTGTTATCTTTGATCCGATGCTTTTTGTCAATATTCAGCAAATTCTGTTTTTCTACCAGAAGAGGGAAGCACAATACCTGTGGTTTTTTTCCCTCGGTCAGCTTTCCTTCTTTTAAATATCTTATTCAGTTTAAGAATCACAAAATCCCTAATTCATTGCAATTTTGCACAATTTCTCATAATAGAACCAATCTTGGCTCCCAGACATGCATTTCTGATTTCTATAAAACTGATCACATGCATTTAAAGAAAGTTTAACAGTCTCCAATCTCATTTTTATATAGATATTAATTTATTCACATAAAAATACTGGCTGGACAGTTCAGATTTCACTGTTTGTAATTGTAATGTGATCCAGCGCTTTTATCTGGTGTCAGCACTGAAACTAATGACACTTGGTGCAACTGACTCTCCCATTAATATGTCCTGTTAAATTGAACTGCTTACAAGAACAATTAATATATATACACATAAATATATATAACATAAATGTTTAACTGTGCATGAATATGCATGTAATGATGTACAAACTGAAAAAGAATATGCTGAAGGCACAAATGGTTGTACAGCAGATCCGCCTACAGTTTAAACTGCTTTTGTGCATCTGAATCAATATTAGCAGGAGACCTACTCCTGAGGTGAGTTTACTTAAAAACAGCACAGGTCTGACATTCATAATTCAGGAGATTTATATTGTCAAATGGAGGTCATGTTTAGGGCTCAATCTAACTTCCAAGTGTCAATATAAAAAGGGTTTTAAAGAAGCTGACCAGAGTAAATATTCAATTTTGAATCCCTATATTATTTCACTCTGTTCTTTTAGGTGACACAATTTTCAGTTTAAATGTTGAAAACTTTGCAATTAATCTGACTGCTGGAAATTGATAGTAAATAATAAACAATAAAATAATTAACGCAGTAATGTTTTGTTCAGCTATTGCGCAGGGTTTCTGTCTCTTATTAAACAGTCTCACATAAAGAATGAACAGAAAAAGATCAAATTATTGAATGTCAACATTACAGAAATACATCATGTTGATCCAGTAAGGTGAGCACGAGAATGACAATTGTAGATATATTGGAATTTTGATTAGAAGTGATTAACGGATTATTTCAAAGGTCAGGGTTATTTACATACTGGTCTGGGTTTCTGCTATATTGTGCAGCTTTTTCAGCCCAATTTGTCTGAAGTAGGGCAAACTATCACAAAGGATAACAGAATATTAGGGCAAAAAATGTCCAGTAAAATCAAGTCTCAATGATCTTCCCACATTGATTTAAAAAGAATCAAATAGTAGCTACCTGTCCACAAACAACTGGCCACGGACCACGTTTGAATTAAGTACCAATGCAAACTTCAACTAATTGTGCCCATCTACACCCTTGAAGGAAACTCTTAAATTTGAGCATTTTTTTTGTAACAAAGAACACATTTTGAAAACTTTGAATTAAATGTACTAAAACTCTTGTTCCTTTGGTGGGTGTCTCGCATGCTGCTTACAAAAGCACTGAAGTACACGTGCGTCCTCGCAGGCAGTTTAGTGAACACCAGTGAAGAAGTTGAGGACCCTGAAATTGGATGCCCCTGCAGGATGCCATTCAATCAGAGGACAGCAGCTCCAGTATTCAGTAGCACTACGGTGGAGGTGTTGCTGCTGCCAGTATTGAATCCCCTGGACTCCCAGGATGGATGAAGGACCAGCAACAAGGGTGGAAGGAACATGCAGATGTTCTTTGGGAATTGGGGGGTCACATGCAGCTATTGGGGTCAGAAGCAACAGCAGTAGATTCAATGTCAGAGGCCAGTTCCGCTACCCATACGCAATACACTCAATCATGCAAAAGGTATTGTAGATCTAGGGGGCTAACAGCTAACAGGCAGCTCACACGGGTTTACCAGTCAGTTGCGCCATCCCTTCTTTGTCCCGTCTAGAATTGAAATAATTGCAGCCCAGGAGGGAATAAGCTCTTAAATTGTCCGTAAGTGACCACTAAAGGGTCTTAAAGTGGCAGCAGGGCAAGACAATTGCCTTTGAACCTTCCCACTCAGAAGTCACTTGGGCAGAGGTAGGGAGGCATGGTATCTGTCCTGACGCCAACCCGCCTAATTTTTCTAGATCTTCCACCTTCTCCCTCACCTCCTACAGACCCAGAATGTTCCATCTAATGAAACCAGCAAATAATTTTGTACTACTGTTTAAGACCACTTTCAATTATTTACAATGAAGTTATTCATGAAAGGTGGAAGAGACACTGATTAAAATAGATATTTTTCTGCTAATTCCATTTTCAGCAGTATTAATCAAAATTATTTCAAGTTACCACTCTAATGGAGATCTTTTGAAAGAGGAATACATTCTGAAATACAACCTGGCTGCATTACAGTACCAGAAATCTGATCTTCAATAGTACACAAGAGTCTCAGCTGAAATTTAACAGAGAAGAAACACTTCTAAAAAATACTGCAATTTCTGGTGTAATTTGTGCCCAGATAATCAATTGTGCATAAAACTGAAATTCCAGGTCATAATCTTTCCACATAATGATGCAAATAAGGAGCTACTTATCCAGATTATCTGAAAGGTATATCAGTGATTGTGTAATAAATGCATATCAACTGTTATAAGCTAAGTATCTGCAAGCAGACATTTATTCCAGATTTATACAAGAACCACATCCATTTTGCATATGAAATCAGTGGAATTTGTAATCTAAACTGACACAAATCCACTTCAGCTCTTGGTTTTGGAACCATACCATTACAAATATTCTGAGAGCAAAAGTGAGCATTATGGACTTCATTGAGAAACACTTTGCCATTTGCTGCTTATTCCTACCTGGAGTGCCTAATTCAGCATGTGCAGCATTTTCTCCATGGCTTACCTTACTTGCCTTTTTTATGCAGAAATTTCAAATAAGAACAAAAATATGAAAAAACAACTTACTTGCACTACATTGAAGAATGTTGACATTGTTATGTTTTCTTAACAAAATTGGAACAAACAGCAAATGAGGTGCTGGGACAAACCCAAAATTTGAAGTAGGAAGTTTTAAAAGGCAAAAGATGTTAAGAAAGCCACTATTTTTGTTATACTCACTTCATGAAACAGCAAACAGATCTCAGGCTCTTTATCTGACATCTCTTTTTATTATTATATGGGGTAAAATACTGGTTTCAAATCTCTATATAATGGTACAAAAGGCAAAAAGTTCACTGTAATGCTATTAAAGAGAACAAAGTAGAACTTCCTATACCAATCTAGTTTTAATAGCCACTTTCATCATCCTACTGTAAACACTCAGGTGGTGTGAAACTGATATTGGTGCTGAACACTTTTACTTCAATTTGTTCTATTCAAACATGATAATTATAGCAATTAAAATAACTGTCTGCATCAAACAAGAATTTAACATGGTAATAATCCAGCATCTGTACTGGTAACAACACACAAAAAGAAACAGCAGTTATCATAAACTTTACTTTTCCAAAAAAAATCCACAGAGACAATTAGATTTCTGCTTGTCCCCATGGCAAACCCACCATCTTGGAAGTGAGCCAGTTTGGGAAACTGCAGCTGTGCACTCGCTCCTCCTGCTGCCTGACCTGCTTTTCCTGGTAGTGCATTGTACAGAGACAGATATACGAAGTTCATCACCACCACATCTGTCCCAGTACCTAACACTGGACGAATGTGGTACCCAGTGGGACCAACCATTTGAGAAATCCTCGCTTTAAAAAGATAAATGCTATTTTGGACCAAAATTCTCAGGATAGCTCCTTGAAGTGATGACACATTACATCTGTCTTTGAAGGCCACAATGAAAAGCTATTCATATGCTCAAAGTCACTGTCAACCTGGTGACACTGCACTACGTAATTAATTACATCTTGATTTAGATGACAATCAGCAATAAATTTATTTTGTAAATTTTACCATTATTTAAAGTCAACTAATGAAAATTGGATATTCCTTGTTTTGAACTGAACTGTACATTAAAAATCAATGAGACATTAATGTTTTATATTTTTATCATTTTAGCAATGTTAGGTGGATAAGCCATGCTAAATTCCCCATAGTGTCCAGGGATGTGTAAATCAGATGGATTAGCCATGAGAGATGCAGGATTACAGGGATAGAGTTGGGGGACTGTGGGTCTCGGCAGGATTCTGATCAGAGGGTCGATGTGGATTCAATGGGTCAAATGGCCTGCTTTCACACTGTAGGGATTCTATGAATGTGAACTCAGAACTGGCAGGGAGTTAGTGGTCAGTAACAAGGAAGGAGGGACTGGCTCTCAGTAGTACCATATCTCCTTCCCAATCCCTTAATCAGCTAATGAGTGTTTTTGAACCAGAGTTTATGCCTGAGAGTCCATGGGTCACCCCACATTGGTTTCCTTGCCATATCTCCTACATGACAAACCTTCTGCCACCGTCAGGTTAATTTTAGGGGAAATGGGATAAAGCTCTTAAGGAGGCATTAACTGAATTCCCGTCAGAGATATAATCAGG